TGAGGCATACAACAAATATTAAGCATACGCCGTGTGCAACCGCAAAAGTGCCAAAGGGAGAGGAAAAAGGAGCCAGAACGCAGAACCAGTAAAGGAAATCCATTAGCCAAAGTGTGCAAATATAAAAGCGAGATCTCCGGCTACATAGCTACTACCTCTTTGAGCCTAGGCGCAAATGAAACCAACGACATGCAAATAAACAAGTCCCACACACATACACATACTCCCACCAAAAAAACCAAAAAAAAAAAAAAAAAAATAGTACCCAAAAAATAGCCATACAAAAAAGGATATGGGGGTAGAAAAATGAAAACCCGACGAAGCAAAATGCGCCATCAACAGTCAGATTTGCATGTTGCTGTTAGAAGGGGTTTGGAAGGGTTGGCTTTCGGTGGTGTAGAGTGTGAAAGGCACGAAGTTGAGTGGTTCAGTGGTGCTGCCCAGCTCTATCTATTTAGAAAAAAATGTTTCCAAAAACCAAGTTGAGCTTAATCGGTTTAACAAATGCAGATGCATTTATATGTATTAAATTAATCTTTGATGTGTATTTTTTTTGGTTGGTTTGGTAATGAAGTATTAAAGCCATCTCTTTACAAAAACATAATAATTTATCCTATTATGATCTTATATTTAATATTCGGATAAGATAATTTAAACTACTTATTCAGCTATAAAAAAGCCAAATAACGATCATCCTTGTACCTCACACAGGCTAGCCATAAAAGTTTACAAGTGCGAAATTGCATTTCATGAAAGTGTCCTTGGCTTTACTATGAGAACACACATTCGTTTTTTTTTCATTCGTTCCTATTTTGTTAGTTGTTGTTTGACTTTTTGTTGAAGGTGATTCCGTCTTTTTTGCAGCCTTAGTCGCCGCCAACGCTTTTTAAATTCACTTATTCAAATTTCTTTTAGGCGACCATTCACACACACATACGTAGAGATACACAAACACAGGCGACGGGAGAGGAGGCACATGCATTGTTTGGACATGTCACGTGCATAACGAATTTGTTACCGAAATCTGTTTTTGATTTAGTGAACAGCTTGCACTTTTTCGTAGACCGCCTTTGCCGCTTCTCCTTTAGCTGAATTTTTTGTGCTCTTGCCACTTTTTGTGTTGATATGAGGACTTGAAATAAATTGAATTTACCGGTATTTGCCCTAAGGATGCCGCAAAAAGCTTTGATATTATCGAGGATGTGTGGATCAGAGGATATCCAGACGTATGATAAGTAAACCAAATATTTTAAATATAATTTACGAGCTTTAAAAACTTTTTTTTTTAGAGCTCCCTAAACATTTTTAGAAAATTAACTAAATTTTGAATTTATCAACATTTCAAATTTGTAAGCAATTTTTTTTTTTTTTAATTCTACAAACTTGAACCAAAATTAAGACCATTTTACATTTGTTCAAAATACACATTGTGTAACCGAAGGGTAATTATAACTCGTCCTCTGGCCTGACCCCAAGCTTCCATGCCAACAAAAAAAATTCTCCCATCTTAATGGCTCGAGCCAAACTGCTTAACTGGTAATCAAGAGCTTTTGGGCAAAAACTTTTTCGCCGTGGCTGCGATTCGAATCAAATCAGCATTTCTGGCTGGCCTGATTAATGTGCTTGTGTCCAGAAATCAATCAATTCGTCGAACAAAGTTTGCCCACTCGTTTGCTTAGATTTTTATTGCCTTCGCTGGCGATTTGAGTCTTTAATTTCTGCCCTTTTTCTTATTTTTCGCAGAGAGGAGTGTAAATGCGGCACGAGTGGACCTAATTAACACGTCCATGCATCAATCATCTGGCCAGCGGAGGAAGAAGAGTTCAGCGATGCGGATTATTGTGCGTAAATTACTCAGCTGGTCCGGCAATTTGTGCGATGGGTTGGGCGGAAAAAAGGGGGCGTACACGTGACCTTTGCCCCCGGGCTTTAAGCTCGCTTTAAGTTTTTCCGCCGACGTCATTGTCGTGGTCTGTCATGTTAAGTTTTCTTTTCCCCGAAAACTTGTTCCCATGCTAAACTGTCAGTTTGCATTTTGTTGCACGCAGCGTTGGGTGGTTAAAGTGGGTGGTGCTTTGGGCGGTGGCGGTTCAGATGAGGGGCGTGGCTGGGTGTTGGGGTCAGCCCGAAGCTGCTGCTGCGTCGCTTATAAATGACATGACATCAAAGCGTAACAAGCGGCACTAAATCTAAACGATGCACGCTCACACACTCACTGCTAGAAATGAACACACTCAAAAAATTACACCTTTTAAAAGGTAAATTCAATTTTATAATACATTTTGAATATTATAATAACACGATTTTCCATCCAAATAAATTTAGAGCACCTAAAACATTCTTACAGCTCTGTTTAATCTTTGTCCTGAACTTCTTTTCTTTCATGGCATACACATGCTTTAGAATCTATCATAAACCATTTGTAAACATAAATCTCTCACAAAGCTTGTTTAAAACATGCTCTTATTAATTAGTTGCAGGAAAGGTTGTTTTTTAAGTGCAGAACTTTCACACGAGCACGAATGCACACTCGCAGACGGACAGCTGTCGAGCTGTTAAGTCTCCGTCCGACAGAAAGGATGAGTTCGCCCCGTTTGTGGACAAAAAGGGGGTGTGGTCAAGCGCCGATTTTGTGCGGCTGCTTTCGGTTTCAGTTTTAGTGGCTTGTTTTTTCCTGCTTTTAAATTGGCGCTAAAAGTCTACAAAAATGAAATCAAATTTTGGAGAAGTAGAAACTGTTTTTTTTTTACTTTTTCTGTATCTTTAAAAGGTCAAACGCAGCTTTTGTATTAAATTCACACAAAAACTTAAAAAAACATTTAAAGGCTCACAGAGCAATCTCAAATGCTCTGTTATTTTCGCCAATTTAAGCTCTCAACCCGAAACGAAAGGTAAAATAAACAAGCACGTAGATGAAAGCCGTTTGTCAGGTAAAAATTGAAATTTTAACGCCATAAAATCAATGAAAATATTTATGCCAATAACCTTTTGGCTGCCAAAAACAAATAATTTCGTGTTTATATTTATTTTGGATATCGCGCATAAATTTAATGGCTAACACTTGAGCGAAAAAATATTTTAAATAATGGCCATTTCGTATAAATTGTCAGGTTCGTCTCTATATCTCATGTGTGTGTTTAATGTTCTTTTTTGCTTAACTCGTTTTCAGCAGAGAGTTGTACAAACAAACAGTCCAGCCCGCCTGGAATTTCGGTTGCAAAATTCCTTTACTGCCATCTGAAAGTGTAACAATAAAAACTATAAAAAATATCTGGAAAAGTGGAAAACAAATCCAATCTCTGGCCAGGTCCAGTCAGTCAGTCAATGATTTGTGTTGAAGAGAAATTCAAATATTGTAGAGTAATGAAAGTATTTTCGAATTTTCAATTGTTTGTTTTATCGTGTAATATTCTTGAAAAATCTTTTAGCACTATTTTCGTTGTCGTATAAGGTTTCAAAGGGTTATAGTTTTTTCTATATTTACACAATTGGCAAAACAAAAATTTGTCGAATACTCCACAAAGAAATTCAAAATTGCAGGGATCTTTTGATGTCATTTTTTAAATAAATAAGCTTCAGATAAAAACTATATTCCTTCAATAATAAAGCTTTAATTCACACGAATCGTTTTGCTTGAAAAATATTTAACGGTTGAAACTTCTTGTTTGTAATATAATTTCTGCATTCCTCAAAGTGAAAGTTTTTACGCCATGCTCGGGTTTAACTTGTGAATTATAACACCATTGTGGGACAGACATATATATTTATATATATATATATAAGGATGATGTATACATTCTTGGGGCTGCAAACTTTTTCAACTGGGCAAAAAGTTGAGGCCGTGTTAAGCCAAAGTAGTTTAGCGATGGGATTTTTGCACTTCTTGTAGCCAGGAAATGTTTACATATGCGCATAAAGATGCAGCTACATATTCCCTCTGCCCCTTTTTCCACACGATGCCTTGGACCTAACTTTTCCGACTTCCATGGAAGATATACAAGTGTCGGAGGACCAGAATAAAACTTTGTTTCATTTGTTATGCTCGTAAATTGTGGCTGCTGAGGCTAAGAAAATCTCATTTGCGCTAAGTAGGCAGTTGACAATGTGGAAAAGCATATCATGCGTGTGTGCAAGAAAATTAGGAAAATTACAAAAAATAAACCTAATGACTTCTAATTCATTTAATTCAAACTTATTAAAACGACAGTAAAAATGTTAAAGTAATTTCATAATTTCAAAGCTTTATAGTTATTAATTTAATGACTTTTAATAAACAATCAAAAAAATGTTGGGTACTTAACTTTGGCTTTTGTAAAGTTGAGTGTCATCATTCAAAAAGCAATGCTTAAATTTTAATGAAATATTTACCGTGTGGAAAAGCTTACCATTAGATTAATTAGACAAATATCCCGTGACTATCTCATTGTACCTTCTAATCAATCAGTAACACAAAATTATACTAACCTAATGTTTTCATTTAATAAAATATCTTTGACAGAAACAATCAGTAGACCTTTTCATGCATGTTGGTCACAAATATATAAAAATCGGGGGTGTTTCGAAAACTGGCACCAAAAAGAAGTTCCCGCTGGTGGCCAACTTTAAGCCAAAACTGTAAATGGGCCATTTCGTTTGGATTTTTTTTATAATAGCCGCAGTTGTCAATGTGCAAGGATTTACAAGTTTGTGCTTTAATCAAAATATTTAGATTATTAAATTATTTTTCATAAATAAACTCCTAAAGAATACGGACGTGACTGCCAGGACATTTCATGTACTCCGGGACAGCGATGCGTTATATCCAGAGAGCCCTGTTTGGGCCCTAAGCAACATGATGGCGAAAAATGTGGCAAATATCCTACATGTGTAGAAAGGGAGAAGACTTCAGGTTTGTAGAACTTTTTTTTTATTTGATTTAACAATTATACAAGTTTTCATAATTTATTTTAGCATTTTTATTTAATCGTCGGAAACGGCAAGCCAACCAACAGGGATACGGAATGGGCGGTAGTGGAATGGGTAGGGGGAATGGAATGAATGGAAACGGTAATAATGGAATGGGCGGACAGAATGGAAACGGAATGGGTGGACAATACGGAAACGGTATGGGTGCGAACGGAATGGGAGGAAATGGCGGAATGGGTGGACGTGGAGGAAACGGCAACGGAATGGGTGGTAACGGAATGGGAGGCAATGGCGGAATGGGTGGACGAGGAGGAAACGGCAACGGCATGGGAGGAAATGGAATGGGTCCAGGTGGAATGGGTGGAAACGGAATGAATGGAATGGGAGGTTATGGAAACGGTATGGGCGGCAACGGAATGGGTCCTGGAGGTATGGGTGGAAATGGAATGGGTCCAGGTGGAATGGGGCCGGGCGGAATGGGAGGTCAAGGCGGCTACAATGGAAGAGGAGGGCAAAACGGAATGGGTGGACAAAATGGAATGGGAGGACCAAATGGAATGGGTCGTCCACCTGGTGGACCAAACGGAAGGGGACCACCAAATGGCATGGGAGGACCAAATGGAATGGGTGGACCCCCTGGAGGACCAAATGGAATGGGTCCTGGTAACTGGCAAGGCATGAACAACGGGGGAAACGGAAATGGCAATAGTAATAATCGCTATAGAAATGGAAACTCTAATCAAGGTTACAGTACTTCATCTACGACAACAACTGATGGTTGGTAATTGTAAAACGAGCACAAAAAAATTAAAACTTATGTACCTATGACAGAGTTAACGATAGTTTCCTTACATTATATTTCATGAAAATAAAATATGAGTTATGCATTTCAAAAAAAACGCCTTTTATGCAAACAATCAAGAGTGGTTAACTTTTAAATTCTACTCACCCTGTTTCTTGGTAATGATTAATAGGCTTATTTCACCTCACTTCCGAGCTCATATTTCTTAAATATTCATTGATTCCAATTTGTAGATAATTTGTGCGAAAATGTTAAAATATTCATGCGTGCTTAAATAGGTAATTATTAACCAGGGGAAAGGAGTGACGAAGTGAGGGAAAAACTTCGCTCAGCTGCTGTATTTTAAGCAAACAAGTCACGCCACTCGTGGTGGAACGGGGACAGCTGGCTTTCTAATAGATTGCCTTATCCTTTAATTGATTACAAATAAACACAAAAAGAGGAAAATAAACTGAGTAAAAGAGATAAAAGGACATTTTCTGGTCCTTATCCTGGCTACGTGCTTGCTCTTGGCTCGCGTGCATTTCCATATTTGTTTAGGCCAACTATAAAAAAGGGGTGACCTGCGTGACCCTGACCCCTGGCTCGTGACACCCACCAGTTTGGATTCCTGAATCCATACCAACCCCAAATTCCTTTCGGTTCTCTTGTTTGACCAGGTGCACCAAAAAAAATCAACAAACTTAAAACTACATAAATCTTTATTAGCTTTTCTAGCTGGTTTCGTGGAAAGAGAAAAAAGGTTGAGTGGCCATCAATTAAACAATGTCACTTGCTGGCCACACTTCCACTGCATTTACATGACACGGAAAGGGTAGAGAAAATTGGAGCAAAACCAGCTCCTAATGATGATATGCTTTTCCCTATAAGTAAAGCATTTCCCTTTCTGATGTTTTTTTATTAACCCACTGAACTAAAAACAGATTTAGAAAATAGTTTTTAATAATCTTTATAAAAGCACCATAAAAATTTCACACTTTTTTCACCAAACTTGATTTCGATTTATGTTTAAGAAGTCAAGCCAAAATTTAATTTAATAAACCACAGCGAAAGTGGTTTTAAACCGCAGCGAGTTACGATGATTGATGTATTAACAAAGTGGCTACCAGAACCGTTCACTATATCGCTTCCTTCATTCATTTACCGATCTAAGCTGCCTTCTTGTCTCCTTTCCAAAAGCGATGGCATTCAATTTTCAAGGCTGCTGCCATGGGTTAAGGTTGCCCATCGCCAGGCAATCCATTTATCCCTCGGCCGAGGATGTCCTCGGTGCTCGGTGTTCAGTGTTCGGGGCTCTGGGTGCCAGCGCTGGGCCATTTTATAATTTATCAAAATGAAAATTGATGCCCCGGCGAGGCAAGTGCAGCTCAATCCCCTTTTCCGTGGGAATCCCTCCAGGGTTTTCCTTGCGTGCTGCACTTGCAACGTGAGATGATGGAATGAGGACTACGAAGCGGGGAGATCGGGGATGCAGCGTGCCACACGAAATGCCATCGCAAATAGCGAAAATGCTTTCGCAAATATTTAGCCAAACTTTTTTTGGCGACACGCGTTCAGGTCGAGTCCTTGTCCGAAAAGCTGCAGCTGCTTTAAGGCAGCTCCTTCTTCTTGGTCTCCCTTTTCGTTCAGTTTGTCCAGGTTTCAGTTATTTCGATACCCTTTGCTTATGTCCCTTTAAAAGTTAGGGATTCACACAGAAGATACAGCTAATAGGAAATTTTAGAAAACAATAATAGTTGTACAACAATAAAACCAATTTAATCAAAAAAGAGAAATAATTAATAAATTGTATTTAACAAATATTGTTAGCCTAAAAGCCTTAGGTATTTCTTGGTTTACATTCCTCCACTCGCAATTCTCTTTGCAATGTGTATGTTTTTCTTTTGGCCAGTAGCATTTATGCCAGTTAAGTTGTTGGCCAGTTCGTGACTGCTAGCGGCCTTTATTTGCGCTTGCATTTTCATTTGTGAGTGTAAATAGCATTAAAAATAATTTTCCGGCTTAAAATCGCTCCACACGAACGGGAACAGAGCAGACAGAAGTGGCAAGCAAGGGTCTCCGGGTGAAAGCAGGAGAAAAGTGGAGAAATGAGGAGAAAGGAGCGCTGACAGCCGGACGGACTTATGCACTTAATGAAATGTACACGGCAATTGTTACGGTCGCCGAGGCGAAGACGGAGATGGCAGGAAAAGCCGGACTCGAGGCCGGAGAACGAGAACCGGACGGAGACAGAGATGCTGCGGCCATCAATTGGAGCCAACTTAAATTTCACTACGGCCATCATTTCTGAACGAATGGCAAGTTCGCATTAAATGGCTTCACGGGGTTAAGGATGCTGCCAGCGGGTTAAGCCATCCATGTTGTTTGTCCAATTTAAGTGTTTTTCGGGTTAAATGCATTTAAAAGCCCTGAGTTAAGAATCAACCATTAAATGTCTGGCAAATGGACAGATCTGCAAAGGTGGAAGAAACGATGAGGGGATTTTCTTAATGACAATTGAAACAATTGTCATGATTTTCGTATTAAATAAATATTATCGATATGTTGCACTGTTTTTCAATTAAACCTTCATTACTTTATGTATTCATTGTTGAGTTCACTTGACCTTATCGTTTCGGTTTAGCCTTTCCACTTTCACTCCCTTAAAGTATTCGCAAATAAATCTAATTGAAATCTATTCAACGATAACATGGCTCCTATAAATATTCATGACACTTCCCCAAACCTTCATCCGGATTCGTGTTGTCCTTTCATTTGCAAACGAATTGACCGAAGCTTAATAATAATAAAACTGAAATTGCTGCGACATCTAATGGCAAACTTAAATATTTTGCATATTAATTTGAAGTGATGCTGCAGGTGTAAAATTCGAGGAATTATCTTAGGGCCAAGAAATGGAAATTGCAAACAATTGAAATTGGCCAAAACATTAATTCAAATAAACACGATTGGCCGGAAGGAAAAATCTTCGGCTGCTTGGACTGTCAAAAGGAATTTTCAATCTCGAAACAAAATGCCGAAATAAGTTATTGGGCAAACTTGGCCTTCCATCCTTTGTATCTCTGGATTGCCGCAGTGGTAATTACAGTCAGGTCATGCCGTAATTAAATATTCCACAGCCCAATGAAGTGGGCCAGCTGAAGTGCCAATGTATGGAGCCACTGAAGGTGAGTGGGCTAATCATATCAGAATCTCAACAATTAGCAAGGCCAAAGGTATCTGGCCAGAAGTTTGCTAAGCGGCTTAGACGGGTGGCCTACAATGCTAAATTAAGCCGAATATTATTGAAAGCAGTTTTATCAATGGAACAGTTTCTTAACTAAACCTGCCTTGGAAAGAAGGGAAAGAAAAAAAAGACGAAAATAACTTCGTAATATATTTTACTGTATAAATACAAATTTAGGATTTATTACAGTTTAACTTCAAAATTTTTCAAAACATTTCCAAATGCAAGCAACGCAAACGACTGACCAATTTTAGCAGAATTACGGAGTCGAAGTTTTTGAGGTGGTTTTGCATATGCGCGGTGCTGGTTTTATGGTTGATATCTTGGAATCCCGCACGGTTGGCCGAACACTTGTAATGACTGAAACGTTTGGCACCTTCAATTCCTTGTGCAAATCAGAGTCGTTGACCGAGGGTATGTGATGCAGATGAGTCAAAGAAGCATATTCGTGTGGACCATGACTATAGAGTTCGGCCTGCAGTTTCTGGTAGCAATGATGGCTGGGTGAAAAGCCGGGTTCCGGTTCTGAAACGAATGATTGTTCAGGTGACCGAAAACCTGATACATTATCTGAATGACCGGCTTTGCTCGCCGTCCCGACACTTTGTTCTCTTTCCGAGGACGGGCAGGTTTCGCAGATGAGATCCGAATCCTGTATAATCCCCTCACTGTGAATACTAATATCGCTGGTTGTCGTATCGGCGAATTCCTCGGCAATAAGACGACGTGCCAGTGACACCGAGAAGAACTCCTTGTAGTGCAGCTTGCGACGCTTCTCGAACTCCATCCTTCGCACTTTCTCCTCAATGGACTCGGGAAAGTCCTCGTCCGCCGAGGAATCGTCGGAATCTCCTTCGATTCCAAACGCCGGCATTTCCGACTTCGAGGTCAGACGCAACTTCTCGATCAACGCACTCATATCCAACTCCTTAGGAATATCATCTTCGAATACAAAGGGTGTCTTCGGTTCATCGATGACCATGTGGCCATAGTCCTTGCCAGGTGGATGAAACGTTTCCAAGATGTTCAACTCATCGAATTTGGCCGCCTTGAGACTCAATTGGGCACTATTCGCACCTGATTTTAAGATACCTTTCACTGAATTTTCACCTTCCATCGTTTCGCATTAAACGTAGAAAAAAAATTAATTCTTGTGTGAAGATTAGATTAATGTTATTATTCTTTATAAAGCTTTGTTTTTACTTGAGTGTGTGATGTGATTGAGAATAGTCAACTAACTAGATACATTATGATTTTTGGGGAAGCTTAAAGCAAATGCCTTCTTTTCCCTTTACTTTTGCTATATAACAATTTCTATATTCAAATGTTAAAGCTAGTTTAATGTACGTGTTTCCAGTAAAAAATTCACCCACAAAAAAAGTTTATCAATTAAAAATGACTCGCTTGCCGCACACCATCGTGAAAGTATCCCACCTCCAATCATGGATAATAACAAATCCCCAAACAGACAGTAGACGGATTCACTTTCACAAAATATCAAGTACTTCGTGGTTCCTCTATTGCAATCCCTGAATAATCCTTGTTGCCATTGCTGCCGTTGTTTTCCGGCTGAGGATGTCAAGAACTCAACGTACTCGAGTGCAGACGAATGTATTTGGTGCTCAAAACTCGATACTTCATGCGCCACGAGAACAGTTTGCAATCGCAACCATCAAACCACAAAGTAAACTCATTTTGACGTGTTCGGAAGGGGGTTTATCGATGGGTGGAACAGGCAAGAGGGGGTTTAATAAAGCGGAGTCAGAGCACCGCTTCATTATTGATGTTCCATAGTGGAGTTTTTGTTATTGATGTAAACATATTCATCACAAACATGTTACCTCCGAAAGGGGAGGGAAAATGCGGAGGAAAAGGGGAAACTAGGGGGCGGTAAATCAAGTGGTGATAAGGGCACGGGGAAACCAATGCAGTTGTGGCAGCTGCCACTTCAAAACACTTCACTGCACACCATTTTCCCTCCCGCTTCCCCTGACTCTTCCCAGAGGGGGACAGTGGGAGCAAAGGGGTGCAACATATAAAGGAGGGGGTCAGGGGTCACAGAGCGCTGTATTGGGAATTGATTGCTGCACATTATTTCACAATTTTGCCAGCAAATAAACAAGCCTTTTGCACGAGTACATTCAGTCACGAGCCGAGGCACAGAGAAAAATATTTTATAAATATGGCTGATAGAAAAAATACTTTGCAATGCATCTTATTAACTTGTGTTTTTTAAATATTTGGTATGAAATTGCGAGCAATGATTTTTTTAGTTAGCCATAAACCTTGACTAACAATTATTGAAACATATCAAATGTGTATTTTTTTGTCCATTATTATTAGCTGCAAAATATATTTATTTCTCACTGTTTGGCACTTTGACAAGCATATGACGAGCGGTTGCTGCTCATAAGCTCAGTGGATGCGACAAAACAGCTCCATAAAAGTGACGATGACGATGCGATGTGCTCGTTGTTCCTCCAGTTGATGATGATGTTCCGCTGCTGCCCTGTTCTGAGGTGATGATGATGATCATCATCCTCGTGATGGAGATATAGGCGATGCCGGCAAACAGTCAACAACTGTTTTCGAGCTGCTGTTTTCCTGCCATGTTTGATTGCCTCTCTGCTGGAGAGACGCAACGAAATGCGTTGTTGATGCGGCTAGGAAATTTTTCCTTCGATTTACGAAATTGCAGTTGGCCCGATTGCATTTCTTATGTGCATCAATCGCAACAATGTGCGAGGCAAGCAGGATGTGTGCATTGCGTATCCGCAACTGTGTATCTCTCTCTGAGTTTCTGGGTATCAGAGTATCTGAGTATCCGTATCCGTAACTGTGTATGTGTCTGTGTCGGTGCGGGTCCTACGTGCAACATATGTATGCGCATAAGTAACAGCTCTGAGGTGAGAGAATCGAAAAAGAGGGCAGGGAACTGGCGGAACAGGCTTCCTTCCACATATCAACAGGATTTTATGGCAAATCATAAATTCTCCTCGACTCTTGCGGCTCTCGTCTTCCGCCTTGCTATGGAACATCCGTTTCCGCAAGAAGTTGCATCGGAATGTCGATCTTATTTCAAGAAAAGTTTGGGACTGGGTCAATACAGTGAAGCTTTATAAATAACCAATATTAAAAAATGAATTATTAACAATTTAAACTCGCTAAAAAAAATTATTACAGATCCGGTGAAAACCCAATTTATAAGAAAAACTCTGTTCCAAACTTTTCTACTGATTTAAAAATTTGATTTTACTTTTTAAGCATATTCTCAAACATTTTTGATGGACCCACGTCTCTTTATATATCATATCATTTAATTCCTTACCGCATTCTCACATCTTCCAAATAAACTATAGGATCCTTCACTGTCCATTCAATGAGATCTCCCACTGTATTCAAATTGGAAGCGCAAACGGTTATGCATATTTATTAAAAACTGTCTGCTGCGATTAAAAGCCAATCAGACCAATTGCAAATTCCTTTTATTGGCCAACCATCCTCTCCCTCGTCCTTTATTTCGGTTTCCCCCATCCCATTCCCACCCCCTTGTACAGCCTGTAGTTTATAAATATTTAAAATTTAATTTTTGCATTTCCACACACACAGCACCACAGCCTATCTCTTTTTCTCCCGTTATGCTATGCAGCTTGCGTTTACTACTTCGTAATTTTGTGGTGACTGGGGATCTTGGAACTTGTATAATTTGTAACAGGGTTTCATTTACATTCAAGAAGTATTTTATAAGCTTACTAATACAACTTAATTATTTTTTGGGGATTAAAAATTCTTTCATAAAAGCGTATTAAACATGCTAGGTATTTGAGGATCGGTAAACGATCCTTCGCATTTTTGCAGTAAGATTAAAATGAGTATTTCCCCCTATTTTTCCCATCCACGTTACTACGTTTGCTGCGATGCAATCGAAGCGTAAAACGTTCCAAAAGGCAAACACGTTGAGCGCAAATGTACCGCGTATCCTTTTTGGCCTTCTCAGTACCACCCACTACAGCACCCACATCAGCACCCACTGCACCACCCACATCACTACCCACTGCACCACCCTCAACACCTCCCTTCAGAATTTGCAGCCAAAACCAAACCAATACCTGGATCACCTGCAATCCTGTTGTGTTTGCCTGTCTGCGAGTGTGTGTGTGTGTGTTGGCAGTTAGCTAGCGCTTGACAGCTTGGCAAACAGTTAAATAAAGTTGGCATCTCTCTCCCGAAATCCTCCCCAAGCCACCCTCCACCCCTCCTCGCAGTGTGTGTAAGCCTGATTATTATACACTACACGTTGGAGAGAGTGTTTTCCATCTGGCTATCAAGTTTGTTTGGAATTCAATTTGACTTCAATTGGAAGGGGAGCCAAAGTTTTGTTTGGCTAAAGTCTTCGTTGACGTAAACGATTTTTATATAACAAAAGGGATGTGGGGCCAACACTAAACATTTCCGATTTTATAGATTACCGATTTTTTTTAAAATAAATAAAAATAAATTTTAAACTGAACAAATTTTTATATTCTTTAGAAATAACTACTCCTTCCCTGAGTAACTATCTATAAACTGCTAATCTAATTAGATTTTCTCCAAATTTGACAAGTTTACCGATGTTGTTGTTTTTGACACGGTTACCACTTGAAGCTGAACTGAAATTCAATTAAATTGGTGTAAACAACAGCAGAGGAACTGACAGCGTTTGACGATCTCATGCTCAATGAACTATATGAAGTAACTTAATTAGCTGCAAGAAAGATAGAAAATGGATAGCAGTAAATTAAAAGATAATAAAAAAATGAGAACATATACACCCGTAAGTAAGTCGAACGCTTTGAGTTTCTAAATTTTACAATATTTCAACACATTTTCAGCATGAACTCATTTATAAAACTTAATTAACAGCGACTTCTCAGCAGAATTACAATTTCATGACACAATGGGGCAGCTAATGAATATGAATTACACGAGTGGCGCTACTTGGGACCCTTCGCTCCCCAGATTCGTTTGTCCAAGGAGCAAACACGAAGGCAGCGACAAGAGCAGCAACAAACAATGGCACAAACAAACAACAAGCCGAACAAGACAACTGCAAACAAACACTGAGCTGATTGTGCGACAAACAGAGAGGGAGATATGTGGCTAGAAAGAGACGGCCAGAGACTTACCCACTTATATGAGGCAACGAAACTTATGCGACAAAGTTTCACCTACCAAAGTCTTCTGTCTTTTCACATAAACTTGATGGTAGTTACTGCGAGTTACTCCACTGTCTTTTCACCCGACTCACACACTTTTGCGTTTTGTCCTCGAACCAGAAACAAACTTCACCGGGCAAAACTCACATAAATTACACTCGCACAAGCAGAAGTCACCAAATGCCAAATGCACTAAAAACAACAAAAAAATTAAATACGCACAGACAAAAACTAAAACCTAAATGGCAGCCACGATGCAGATAAAAAAAGGAATATGCACAGCTTACTAAAAAGAGGAGAATACACAGTAAAAACATTTAGGGAAAATTATTAAAATTTAAAGTGGGTGAAGTTCACATTTACAAAACGTGTAGCTTGTTAAATATTAAATAATCCTAAGGCTTTGTAGATAAAGATAATCATGTCTTAAAGTATTAATTACTACCATTAACATTTTTTGATAAGTTTTGTATTACAAATGGTTGTAATTCTATGAAAGCCGTAAGTACACCCCTTGTACTCCTTAAATTCTCTTATTTCCTACAAAATGTGTAACAAAACAAAAGATAGGGTCCCTTAGGGTTGAGTCATCGTCATCAGCCAAGGTCCAGGCGAACTTTCCGCGAAAGGAAATGCGGCCAATTTGTAGACGCTGCACTTCTGCCCGTTTGGCAGCCCCTTTACCGCCCCTTTTTCCCTCCTGTTGGCCATGGCGGCCTTCAAAACTGACAGTCGCCGTGGGCGTTGCAAAAATGAATAGAAAGGGCAGCCATAAAAAAAGGGAAAACAAAACATAACCAAGCGAAAAGCGAATCATCACGCAACAATAAAAAACGTTAACTATGATTTATGACTCAGTGGCGCACGCAATGGCTTTCGCTCCGTCTCTTTCTTCCTTCTATCACCATTACATTGTTATAGAAAGTTTTGCATTGTTTGCCAATTAAATTATTGCAAATAATTTTTTAGTGGTCATTTTTGAAATTGTACAAAGACTTTAATATTATATTGGATACATTTTGTGTTATTTGTTGGAAAACATAGGAGAAC